GCCCTGTGATAGACTGGTGACCTGTCCAGGGTGTCCCCTGCCTTCACCCTGAGTCACCTGGGATAGACTCCAGCATCCTGCGACCCTAATGAGGATTAAGCGGTGTATAGATATTGGATGGATAGAGTAGATTTGCTCATTTTTATTTAATGCAGATTACTTAAAACAGAAATCATCTCGCTAGTGTGTGTCTAAATATTCAGGATGTGAAAGAAAACAGATAATATTCCCAATTGTGAAGCAGTGAATTGTCAGAATTTTGCTTTCAAACACCTTCTGCTTCTATTCCGATAGACTAATTGCTTTAATACCTGAGCTGTAGGTGTAGTTTAGGTGTAGTTTCCTCCAACAAAACAACTGAACATCTTCACCGCTGTGGTCTTGGTGCCCCTCAGGTGTCACACATAAGCCCTCTTTCTTTTCCTTCATACTGCGCTTGTTTCCGCAGCTATAAACGTTATTAATGTATCCTAAATGCTGCAGTGGAGGCACAAGGCCAAATGCTGAGAAGGTGCAACCACACAGTCGTCTTGTCGCGTTTGATTTTTTGGCAAAATGCGTATTGTTGCTGGTCTTGTTGACACGTCGTGCCTCAAAATAGGAATTTATCTTTTTAGCTCACTTGCAGCGAGAAAATAGGGAAGGCTTCCTGCACAATTAGAGTGATTGATGACTACAGCAATAGATGAGTAAGCAAAAAGTCCATTCGGCACAATTAGCTCGATTTCCTCCTTATGTAATGCAACAGCTAAATCTCCCAACAGTCAGAGCGTTACACAGAAACGTCTCCACTGGGATGATAAAATCCAACAAAGAGACGCATAGAAGCTGCAGCTGAAAAACACACCACAAAACCACAAAATGAGCGTAAATATGCACGATTTGTTGTGGTTGTTTCTTTTAAGGGGAGCAGGAAGACAAGGGTCACGTCTTTTAGCGACTCCACTCCCTCCTCCACCTTCACGTCGTTAATAATTGACGTTGCTTGAGAGAAGACACGAACGCAGGTATGTCATCTGGAGCTCCACCGTTTTGTCCTGGTGATCGTGTTTCTATTTTTTCGTGTGGGGCAGGTGAAGAGATGAATAATAGAAGCATCTGGAGAAGCAAAGAAACGTTCTTGTCCAGATGTTTTGATTTTTTTTAAAGTAATTATGTAAAAACTTTGGGTAAAAATAAATCAAAATGGAGAGCTTCAGTCCGGTCTGGTCCGCTGTTCATTTTACTGCAGCCTTTTTTTACTGCCAGTGGGATTATTGCCTCCGTGAGATAAAAGGCGCTGCCAGGCCGGCTTCTTGGAAATCCTGCTTTGCGTGGTCGAGGCTGTAATCCTGTTTGTGTTTCCCACTGACGCTGCTGGTGTGCGGCCTGGTGGTGGCGGGAAAAGCCACACTACACCGAAAGAACACCTACTAGTCTGATTAAAAACATACATCAAGACCTCGTACAGCTCGTCTCCATGTGTGTGACCTGTGTACTCTGTAGTAGTCATTTTGAATCATAGATTGCCTTTAATACCTGTATCCAACATTCTTTAATAATTTACCAACTGTTTAAGCTCATTGTAACCCCCTTTTTCTTTAATAAAATTCCCACAGCTCTCCGAAACAGACGGCGCTCCAGTGTTCATCGTTCACAGTCCAGTGAGCAGCGCTGCTCTGCTGTCTGAGACTTTAATCTGCTGGTAGAACCACTGGGTAACACCAAAATAGACAACCCTCGTGCACTATATTAATTTATTTATTCATGTGGATTTCTTTGCTTTCCC